ATATCCCAAATACAGTAAATCCTTAACAATTCATTAGATTTCATATCAGTTACCAATACCAATATCATATCTCTTGCCAATCCTCTGCCTGATCTGTAAAAACCATTTTAATGCAGATGCATTTTTGTGCCTATTTTATGCAATTCAAAGGTATGGCATGAAAAAATGACTCCATAAGTTTATCTGTAACTCTAATAAAAATACTGTTTACATTTCAATAAAAGACACATATTTTTCTTTGGAATGTAATGTTTTATTTGTTCACATTATATTGTTGTAGTGACATTTCTTAAAAATTATTACTACCATTTTTCCCTGCAAATAAGAAAGGGTCTTATTTTCTTTTGACCCCCGAAATAAGCGCTTGGCCTTATTTTCAGGGCGGGCTTATTATTCTTGAGGTGCAGGATACGGCAAGCGTGGTCACCTCATGGCTGCTGCTGTATTGCAATATTTTCGGGGAGGGATTATTGTGGGGGAAGGGATTATTTTAGCACATGTGCTCAAAAGCCAGATTGAGATTATTATCTGGGGAGATCTTATTTTGGAGGAAACAGGGTAATTAGGTTTATTTGTAAATATGTTTCTGTCTACTCTCTCTGCAAAAAAGTATAGCTGCAAAAACTTTAAACTATAATTAAGAATCTGAGATTATCAAAAATTATATAGCCTTATCTAATCTCAGAACTCTTACACTAACTCTCTTACCTGCAACTAGAGATGGAGTTTGTGCCAAGGATGAAAATGAGACAGGATGTCCCGAAAGCTGCTGCAACTTTGTCACCTGCACAACAGGAAGCGGAAAAAAAAACCAGATAACCTTAAAATATAAATAATCGTCAATTCTAAGTATCTTGAAGGGTCTCTCAAAGCTGAAGATTTTATCATGGCTGAAAAAACTTGTGTTTCATTTCACCTGTATGTGAAATGAAACTCTATCGAACACTGTGTTTGTATTACTGTTTCAAATAAGTCTGGGGTAGTAAACTGTATGAAGATATCTTTTATGAAGCAACCTTGAGCTCATAACAACAACAGAGGCATTTTTTCACTATGGTTCATGCCAACTTTAAATTAGGTTTTGGCCATAGCCAAAGGATCGTCTCCATCCAGTTAAACAGAGTTACCACTAAGGACAGAAAGACAGGTTTTCCTGAAGGTCAATATTCACTGACTGGTTAAAACTGAATCATTCTAAGTGCTTTTGTCTGTTTTTGTAAATTCAGCAACAGCCTTTAATATCTGACCACAATACGGAGCCCCCAAGATCTGTCTGTGATCTCCAGACACTACAGAGAGGCCAATATGCTTGAAAACACCTGGTTGGAAAGATGATGCTTCTATAATCTTTTCAAGAAAAGAAGCATAGGATGGGTCAAGTCCAGAGACCAAAAACAAGATGTGAGGACCACAGAGGGGAAGACCTGGAGTTTAAATATAGATTGCCAGCTGGACTCACCTCAGCTTGAGATATTCCACTGTATTGTCCTTGCATGGAAAATCCCTACAAAAGGGGAAAATAATAACAAAGAAGAAAGATATTCTGAAAATATATTAGCGCTTCCTTGAAAAGTTCATTTACTGAAAAGGCTTAAGAATAAAGAAAGAAAGAAAATCACAGAGAAAAGCAGGGAGGAAAAGTGACAGGTGCAGTTGCAGCAGGAAAAAAAAAAAAACCACAACAGCAACAAAACGAAAGTAGATATCCTGAAAATCTAGAGAACTGGACAACATTTCCCATTTGATTTTTAAAAGGTACATCAGAATCCAAGCAAGCATCGCACCTGTCTGCCATTCTTTAAAGCAGAGCTGCCCCTCTGATGCTACCCTAGGCAGAGGCTCAGCCTTTCTTGCTGCTAGATAAAGACTTGGCTGCTTTAAATGGTTGCAGGCAGGTGCTGCATTTAAACCATTATGCACTCTGAAGTGCCCTTTTGGAACAGAATCCAAAGCATTGCATAGCTCTAGAAACTAATATACTCAACGATCTCTCCATTATAAAAACATTATAAAAATCAAAAGGACTCAGGAGCTGTAGAAATTTGACCAGAAGTTTTATAATCATGCAGGGACATCTGGGTAGTTTTNCTAAACCTGGACATAATTCTCAAGGTGGAGGCTTCACTTCAATACAAAATGATGTGAAATTATTCCTTCCTATGTTTCTTATATTTTATTACCATTCTTGCTACTGTTGTTAAGTGAATCACTTACAGCTGTTAAGTTAGTAACATGGTTGTTAAGTAAATTTGGCTTTTCCATTGGCTTTGTATGTCACAAAGTCACAAAAGGTGATAAATGAACTCAGGACATTGCAGCCATCAGTTGCCCAGCACCCAAATTTTGATCATGTAACCATGGGGATGCTGCAACAGTCACAAATATGAAAAATGGTCATAAGTCGCTTTTTTTCACTGTCATTGTAACTTCGAATGGTCACTTAAGATGAACTACCTATAATAACATAAAATTTGTTCTTGTCTAATTTCCCCCATGTACAGTATTTGGAATATTTTCTGGCACAATGAACCAGCAAGCACCAAGACACTATCCATTGCCGGGAAAATCAGAAATCTTCATAATTTTATTATTATATACAATTACTTCACTTTCATTTCGTTTTGCTTTATAAACCACAGTGACTGAACCTGACATCTTATCAAAAATGCAAGAAACACCTTTATAGTATAATAAAATGTAAGAAACATAGGAAGGAATAATTTCACATCATTTTGTATTGAAGTGAAGCCTCCACCTTGAGAATTATGTCCAGGTTTAGGCATCACAATTAAAAAAAACCATTCCAATCAACTGGAACATGTTCAGAAAAAGACAACAGAAATGACTAGCAGACTATAAATTAAAACAATAGTAGAAAAAGATGAGCAGATAAGATTACAGGAGGATGAATATGATAGCAATTTTCAAATACTTGAAAGGACTTCACAGGAAGACCAAGTCCTCTTCTCCAACATCCCTGAGTGCAAGACACAGAATTATAGGTTCATGTTCTGAGAAGGTGATTCTGGTTAAATGTTAGGGAAAAAAAACCTTCCAAATGCTAAGATCAGTTGGACAGTACAACCCAAGACATAATATTCTCCCATTCACCTGGGTACATTCAAACACAATAAGTTATTTTCATGAATGTTTTTATTTATATTTGGATTTTACATAAAATAGGAGGTTGTATTCAGTAGCTAAATGGTATCTCCCAACTCTGTTTCTATGAACCCAAATTTCAGCATCTGAATTTGTTTAATTTTTTTGGTCTTTGCTCTATTCCTTTTTATTTGTTTCATGCTCTTTCTCAATTGTAAGATTGTAAGTAATAATTATATAATATAAACTTGCTTGCATATGTGATATAACAGTTGTATACAAATGTAGAAAATAATAATATATTCTATAGAATACTCCAGGAGAAAAATATAAAATCAAGGCTGTTATTAATCTATTAAATTGCCTGGAAAATAAAAGCAGATGTTCCTGGCAATTTGCATAAAAATAACAGATTGCTGAATTGCACAAAGGATTGATATCAGCGTTTATTATGCTCCACTGTGAAAATGTCAGTCTAAAAAAAATGTGCAGAGATCTTTGGTTTGTTATGATCAGAATACTTTTTTTCCTTTCTAGAGAAAAGCATATGCCTAGTTATTATTATTATGCTTCAGTCTTTGTTCATTATTGTTAATATATTTTCTATAAAGCTAATTGATTTTATGACTAGCAATTTGAAAGCAAATTGTGGGCTAATAAAAATATTAATGATTTCACATTAAAACTAAACTACACATAATTAGGCAATTGTGAATGAAACAATTAGTTTTCCCAAGCATACCAATATTAGAATTTTTAAAATGAGTGGGTGGGGCCACATTGCTGATTCCAACTATTCTTTAATACTCAGTTTTGTGGTTTCTGCACACTTATTTTAACTTAATTTGTAAAAACAAAGCCTGCTTAGAACTCCTATTACAACTAAAGAAACAAAGTCAGAACACATGTTGTCTTTACTATTAGTATTTCAAGGCAACCACCAAGAAAAACAGATCAAAACCATATTGTGGAAATTATTTTATCCATTTTGCTAGAACTTAGGAAGTCTGTGTGTTTTCCCTTGTGAGGAAACACAGAGGAAAACAGAGACCTCTATATTTTTGGATGTGATAGGCAGCACATTTAAAATTTTAATCAGCAACCATTAGCCATTTAGCTAAAGCAAAAAATAAAATCCTGGAACTACAATCCTAAGACTTCTAAACAATGGGTGGGGGAGCTGCATCTGAAAAGGAAAAGAATAATAGGAATGCAAGCAGGTATTTGACAGATGCCCCAAAGATGCTTTTTAAGGTGGCAACTGGACTTTTTTTTTTCTTTTTTCTTTGAAGACGTTTTGCTTCTCTTTCAAGAAGCTTCTTCAGCTCTGGCTGGATGGTGGGGAATAGAAGAATTTATACTCCTTGCATTCCCCACCATCCAGTCAGAGCTGAAGAAGCGTCTTGGAGAAGAAGCGAACCGTCTTCAAAGAAAAACTATTAAGTCCAGTTACCTCTTGAAAAAAAAAGGCACCTTGGGGACAACCACGACCTGGATGACTGAGAATCTCCATAGATATTTGACATGTTTTGTTTTTTGGAAACGTCGAGAATGCTGACAATTTGATCACTCATCAACAGCCTATAACGACATTTTGCCCCTTAAAGATCGGAAGCGACAGGAGCTTTTCCAAAGAGAGAATGAGGTGGAGATTTTTTTGAAAGACCTTCGCGAGGGCAACGCGATGGCGGGGCGGTTATTGCAGAAGAAAGCGGGGCAAACAGTAAGTTTTGCAGTCCACGCGCAACATCCCGATTTTTACAGAAATGTCTCCGCATGCGCAACCCTCCACTCCCGACTACTCGTGAGAGACCGCTAGCTAAGCGCTCGCGCGGATAGCCCTCGGATCAGAAAGGCCGGGCGAAGCTTCGGGTCTTCACTGAGGAAACGGTGGGATGTGGGCTTTGCTGGCCTTGATTGGGTTGTGGCAAATGCAGTGGGTTGCAACTTGGGATGATGAAGGTAAAAACAGCCTGAAAGTGTAATTCGGCTTCTGTAGATGTCTGTATAAGGAGTAACCGGCTGGGTCTGTGTCCCTTTCCCAAAAGGAAGCCTTGCTGGAGAGAGTATAAAATCTACCTCTGAGAAAACAGGAGTAATTAATATGCAGTAATTGAAGGATTAAGTCAGGTGTCGATTGGAATCTCAGTAACACTCTGCCTCCCCCTCCTCCCAAATCTATAAATGTTTACAAGGAAATATTCAATACAGTTTTACTTTGGGGGAAATAGGTCATCGAAAAAATCTCTTTACATTAAATCTCTTTAAATTAATTTGAATTAATGAAAATAATAGGTGCTTATTTTTTGTGAGAGATTATTGATCAATGATGTATCATCCGGTCATTTTTGACTCCTGTGCATTTATTATTCCTATTTATATGTCCACATAAATTTTCTCCATGACATACAAACATGCTTTAAAAAAAATAAAAAGTACAATAGGAAAAATAACAAAATAAAGTATATACCTCATTATAGCAATTAACTCTTACAATTCTATTTATATATTTACTTAATGTAAATTATATCCAAGCATGTATATTTTAATTTCTAATCCATCTATATAACCCAACTATCATTTTAAGAACTTTTTATATGTAGTTTGTTTTGAAAATGTATTTTCATTATAATTACTGTACACATGAAACTTTGTATATTGTTTCTTTTTTGGTTATTTTTAAAGAATAAATAAACACTTTTCTCTATTATGTTATACTCCTAACCTGGTCTTTCAACTCTCTCAAGAGTGCACTCATTGCCACTGAAACTGAGTTGTGAGTAGAAATCACATAATATTTTAAAAATACACCCCACATATATTTGAAAATGGATATACTGTATGGACTGTAGTGACAAGTTTTCAGCAATAATGGTAATTGGGGCCTTTAAAAATAGAAGAAAAGGAATTGAGCAGTCTTAAGGCAGTTCTAGAGAGCAAATTGCCCTCTACTTTTGTCCAGGTACAATAAATGGTCTCCTACATTTCTCCTATAAGTGCTTCTAACACTTAATAATACTACAATGTATTATGATGATATTCACCTGTGCATATTTGAAAAGAATTTCAAGAGAAATTCTGACTATTTAAGTACATCAGTACAATCAATGTGTATGAATCCAGGATTGCATGTGAGTCTTCTGATTTCTGCAGATTTCTATGCTATAGTGTTAATGAAGACAATATTTATCTAAGCATTTTCAAACAATTTTCCAAACAAAATTAACAAGATGAATGCAGTTATGTATAGAAAAGGAATAAGGCATTTTGTCTCTGCATATTCCTCACACAATACCTGGATCCAGAATAAAGGGAACGATGGGAACTCCCTGGTCACTATTTTCAATCTTGCAATTTTAATCAGTATGAATCAAGATACCTCTGGTATTAAATATTGAGATGTGTTCAAGGAACATAATTACATTTGTTCCCCACCGA